TTTAAAAAAAAAAAAAAAAAAAAGAGGGTGGAAAAATGGTGAAGGAGAATTCAAGAAGCGAGCGCAGGTCTCCTGTTTGATTTGCAGCCTGCCGGAGCGCAGCGCGTGACCCGCCGATGTGCGAATACGCCAACCTGATCAAATTCTAACGAGACTGTGACACTCCGGTTGAGATGGGCCGTAATGGAACGGAGCAACGGCTGCAACCCGACACGCCTCGGGTGGAAGAGGGTCATGTAAAGGAATGCGGGAATTAAATAGACCTCGTTAGCGGCGGCAGGGAAGAGCGACAGGGGCATTTACTCCCCGAGTGAGCGCGCCAGATACCAGCTCCTCCAAGGTCTTATGTGGCATCAAACCGTAATGTGAAACGTAGCGCTAACCTTATCGCGCGGATTTACGACCCGACAAGCCATTCATCTCGTTCGCTCCCTTGTTAGTATTACGCCTCAGCTCCAAAGTATTGAGATAAGCAGAGCGGGAGACGGCAGAATTAGGCAGTGGAAGTGAGTGTGATGGATGACTCGCGTGGAGTAATATTCCTGACAGATGGACACAAAATGGAAAAAAAAAAAACCAGCAAAACCCTAAGTTGCTAATAGTGACGAAAAAAAAAAAAAAAAGAAACAAACCCTAAGTTGCTAATAGTGACAACGACATCTGGACGGGTTTGGGAGGAAGGGCTCGGTTACAATGTCGTGTTCCAGTGGAGCCACTGTAACGCGAGGCACCATTTCCATATTCATGCTCCGCTTGAAGACTGCACTTGCGCGCTTCCATTAACACGCAGTCGAATACGGCGGTGCGCAAAAAAAATTTCAATGAACGTACCGTGACGGATTCAGAGCAGAATCTAAATGGCCTGACCAGAGAATTTCCTACGGCGTGAAGTGCTGAACACCCGATCGGCCATTCCACACCACGCCGCCGCGAGAGCTGCACTCAGTGACACAAACGAGAACCCAATCATGCCGATAAATGACAGGTTTGATTCACTGCCTCGAGGCTTTTGCCGATATTCCCGTACGTGGTTTTCTTCTGCTACTGGAGATCAAACCCGTCCTTGCTGCAGCATTCGACACGGCACCGCCGACCTTTTGCTGGACAGGACCAAAAAGACTTTCCGCACGCAGTAAATGATTCACTCCCGTGCCTTCAACTTTATGTCCAGAGATGATCCTGCAGTTTCTTCCTGCATTTATATGACCAGCAAGTCTCTAAACTTGCGTAAACTACACGTGCGGTGCAGTACCAAGACTTACCCGTGTGAGGCAGCATGGCACCACGTGACCTCCAGACCTCCGGAAAATGCAAAGACAAAAAAATAACCCACAAAGGAGAAATGAAAAAAAAGTTCGGCTAATCGTTAGCTAGTGAACAGGTATAACATTGACCTTAGTTTAATAAGTACAATAACACATTTCGTTTGGAGAACGCTTGTCGAAAGAACTCAAGGACCAAAAAAAGAAATCAAGAAACATCCATCAATCTCTCCATCCCTTTTCAACAGCGCTTTTCCTGAACGGGGTCGCGGGGTGTTGCCCAAGCCTTCCCCTTTGGGCGCAAGGCAGACGACGCCCCGTACCGGTCGCCAGTCCGTCGCAGGGCCCCTACAGAGACAAACGGCCATTCGCAGGCACACGCGCGCCGTCACGAAGGGGGAACCGATCCCACGCCGCCCGCAAACAACTGAGGCGAGTGGACCGCTAACCCATCAGCGACGACGTAAATGGACCAAAACAAAACATGTACATTTGGAAAAGCAAAACGTCGGTTGCTTCGATCAAGGGTAAAGCTAAATGTGTAGTGTGAAAGTAATAACAAGAATTTAAGTGGTGATTAATTGGCGGTGCCGCCGAACAGTTTTCCAAGCAGATCGGGGAGGAATTATCACTCATCACAGCCCGCGCCACGGGATAATGGCTCGGGATAATCTTTTGGAGAGACCCGGTGATCTGGCTTTTGTGGACTTTAGTCAGCGAGAGGGAAAAAAAAAAAAAAAAAAAAACGCTTCAATCTGACCCGATTATGCACGGGGGGGTACCCTCCTTCAAAGTTACAATGGACTGTTTTCCAAGCAGATCGGGGGAGGAGCTACAGTGACAAGCACATCCCACACCACAGGACTATCTATCGCTCATGTGAATCTTGGAAAGACAGCCAAAAACCTGCCCTCTGCTAACTTTGGGCGCAAGCCAGGGAAAATTTCCTCGTGTGGCCCGACGGTGGCTACGTGAGCACTTTGAGCAAACAGGCCCCTTTGGGAATGCGTGCCGGCGTGGAGAACGCCACCTCTCTTGATGACCTGCAGCCATTCACGCTTTTCTCTCTGATGAAAGGCGCATCGGCGCCCTAGCAAAGCGGACGCGATGCTTTGAAGACGAGCGTGGGCGGAATCTGCAGCCTTCGCTTAATGCCCCAAATTCTTAATAATGTGGTCAAGAGAGCACAACGAGGTTTCCTTTTGAGCCTTGAAAAGCCAGACGCATCTAATCAGTGCTTTCGGCCCAGTGTCGGAACAACCGCGGCGAGCTTCCTCGGCGCGACCCCCGACTACCCCTCAATTTACTCCGAGGGGGAGCGGCCATTAGCGTGGAAGCACGCTGCGCTATTTTCTTCGGTTTCATCCAAGTCCGAGAGGGGGGCAAGAATGCTCACAGTCTGCGCTGAAGCAGAAATCACCGCTACTTGGTGTCGTCATCGGGACGCCGAAAAGAGTCACGATTCCCCGTTGACGAGGTACGAACATCATCTGAAAAAGAAATCCTCAAGTAGAGCACATGAAGAATCGGCCGAGGCGTCGGAACAAGTTCGGAGGAAATGGATGCGCGTTCGGCTCCGTGGCTCGAAATTGCCATTTTTGATTCTATTGTCACGGAAGATTTCACCGAAGGACACGGCACACCGGCAAAACCTGATGCCACGCCGCCCGTATTGATTCCACATCAAAGATACTTCAGTTCTCCGTCCTCGTCACTATTATATGACGCGTCACCCCCGTGTCACTCGAAATCAATAACCATCTCGCAGTCACTAGCGCCGCGTTCCATGTCACCGTCAACACTCCGTCGCTTCGTATCAAGGAGCGAGTGCGCCGGATGTTCTGCTTTGCCAAAGAAGTCGGCTGCAAACGTTGCTAATTATACATTTGGAACGCCGCTTCCCCCTTTCGATCAAAGTCAGCGAACGCCGAGTTGTCGGATTGGGTTTGAACGGTGATTATTGAGTGGGGGGGGGGGGGGGGGACATGACCGGGG